TGAGTCACGCAAAATCGTGATTTTTGACTGTTGGCACGTCTTCAAACTTGAAAGAGACACGCCGGAGAGCCAGCTGGTAATATGGCGACTGCATTGAGAAGGAATGCTGCTAGGAAACGCATAGCGCAAGATTAGCTCGGCAGGCTTGGAGCCTGGAGAAATAAAGCTCGAAAGTGATGCGCGTAGTATAAGGAGCCCTCAATGTACGGGATTGTAAAAAAGAAATGAAGGAAGCTTATCACTGATACCCAACTACAGGTGTGGCCTTTAGAGGTTGGGCCTTGAAGGCAAGCTCCGGGATAAAACCGGTGACAAGCGCTTCGTAATGATGACTGAGCTGCGGGACGGCCTGAAAGTGGAAAGGAAAGCTAGAGAAATCTTTGGGATCGCTGAAATTAAGGCCTTAACCCAAAAAGGTCGGATGTGGAACGATGGCGAGGCAGGGCGGTCAAAGAAGACAAAACACGCGAGAGATCACGCCGTTCGAGAGAGCACGCCGATCGAGGTGGGTGGGAAGCGTTGCAACGGGGGTCGATGGTTGCAGGCCCGTAAGGATTAGCGCCCTAACCGCGCAACTTTTGCGGCGAAGCTGGAGTGATCTAGGTAGGTAGGGACCTTACAATTTCCCTCGCGGTATCCTTCCCACAAGTCGGGCTAATCCCGGGGTTTGCCTTTGAAGGCACCGAACTCAGCCGAGTTCACGTTGTGAGAAAGGAGGAAAAATGTCGTCAATCTATTCATCGAAGTGACCCGTGCTGGCAGCTTGAATCGTTGCGACGCGCGTGGAGGTGTGTGCTTGGACTCTTCCTTGCAACAGTAAGGAACAGTTTTCAAGATGGGTAATAGTGTGGGGTAAGACTATGCTTCTGCACGCTAACAGTGGAAGGGTTACTAAAAATTTGGACGAAATTGAGCTGCTTCCTTTGGAAAACCTGGAGCACTTTCAACAAGGATTCCACTCCATTTCTAGCGGTTTAGCTCAGTGTTAGGTCCGGGAATCAAAAAGACGGTGGGGTCCTGCCGTAAAGAATAGAACATAAAGCATAAGAAACTACGGTTATGATAGTCTGCTTCGAGGAACAAACCTTGGAGGTCCGATCCTCAACCACGGTAGCGCTAGACTGCCCACCAGCAAAATACGCTCTGTAAAATCCATTCAAAAATGGCTCAAAGTTCTTTTGCTATCCTTTATATAGCCCAGGTACATCTTTCACGAACCACCAATTCCCCGCTTTTCAACATAATTCTTAAAGTAGGAAATCGCGTTGAGAACTGAGGTGTGTCGAATGCGCCTTCCTGCAGCTTTTGGCCTGCAATAATTTCAAACTTCGATCGGAAGGAAAGCTATTGGAATGAGTCCGATTGAGAACAAATATGATGAACATAAAGTTCTGATCCCAATTCGAAAGGTTGTGTTTCAGCAATGTTAGTGGTGCTTTTCAAAAATTAAGGCTCGAAACGCGGCGGATAACTTTTTGACCACTAGATTTCTTTGACTTCACGTGCGGCAAAAGCCGACGAAAAGCGGATGAGCAACCCTTCCCCCAGCCTCAGCAGAAGTCGTGTCGAAGAATCTATTCACTGAGTGGATAGAGTAGCCCACGAATATTACAGATGTGTCGTTGTCGTGGCTCGAAACTGCGCAATTAGGGCGCAAGGGTCTTTCAAAGTTGGCTTTTGGCGGGTAATCTTTAGCATCTGGACGAGTTACGTCGCGCACACCCCATGACACGCACACACGGATCACGGTTGTAGCCGGCTAAGGTTGAAAACACGCCAGCTTATTTGAGCGCTGCAAGGCAATTTTCCATGACAATTCGTGTGGCCGCGCCCATTCTCATTTCAAGGAAGGGGTCGTTTTTGTTCAGGGCTTCATCGACGGTTTTCCTTGCTTCTTTTTCATTTTTTAGTCAACTGGTAGTCGAGTGCAGACCACACACCACAAGTGACGACGGCCAAGAAAAAGGAAAGAGAAAAGCCACTTTTCTTGGTCGTCGTCACTTGTGGTGTGTGGTCTGCACTCGACGCTCTTCTCGTTTTCCCGAAATAGAGGGTAGTTGTGTATACGCTCTGCCTTTCTGCCGGAAAAGTTACAGTTTGATGGTGAAAGACCAGCTGCTGGGCAGCCAACCGGGAGGGTGTAGGAATGAAGCATTCAGAGGAGACGGATAAAGGATAAAGGATAAAGCATTTGCCGTTGATCAATCCCTTTTTGGGATGCGGCACGCATTCTACTTCCATTTGTACATTCGTAGTGGCGTTTGAATGCGATGTGGCCTATACAATGACTTGCGGGGGCCAGCCGATGTACAAGTCAGTGTTTTTATCCTCCCAGACAAGTCTGGTACCAATTAACCGACCCCGGAGGGATGGAAGGCTTGGTTGGCCCGGGCGACTCACGACCCAGGATTTGATCCCCGGACCGCTCGCGTGGTAAGCGTGCCACTTGCCACTACACCACTTCCGCCCTTAGAAGACGGATAAAGCTTAATAAATAAAAAATCACTAAGGCGCGTCCTTCTCCACGAAAGCGTCTCTTTCTGTTCTCATAGGAGCCTTGCCTTCCTTTTACAGTAGCCATATTCGTCAATGATCAATGTCCATTTTATCTTTACCACCTGTCTTTGAGGAGGAAAACCCTCAGAGGGCGCAATGCTAGTCTTCAGGGAGTGGTCTTGAGCCAAACTTCTGATTTTGTTAGGCCGTTCATAGTTCGCGACTCGGGAGATTAGGATAGTAGGCGACAGGATATTAGGATAGTAGTAGAGTAGGAGATTGCGCTGACAAGATTGGATACGTATCGATTGAAATCGCTGGAGAGTAGTAGATTGGGCGACTTCAAGCGAATAGATCAATACATATCTAATCTTGTCAGCGCACTATCCTACTCTACTACTATCCTAATCTACTACTATCCTAATCTCGCCGTCAATACATATGTTTTTCATTGTCGCGTACTATCCTAATCTCCGGAGTCGCGAACTATGAACGCGGCCTTATTGACTTCACTACGTACCCACATATTCAGCAATGCTTCTGAAGCCTGTGTATGAGGGCGATGAGACGGTGCGCAAGCAACTGCTGGAAAAACCTACTGTACTCGTTTATTTTAGAGCTCCTCTCTACCAATTTAGACTCCAGCTTGTGGGAAATAAACAAAGGAGGGTTAGCCTCAGACACCTACTTGATGACTATGGTCGGTACGTGAATTAGCTTTTCTGTAGATTTGTATGCATCTAGGGACGGACTTGGAGTCACGTATAAGGCAACAATATGGCTGCTAACTTAGTTGGGGGGGGGGGGACCACGCGGCGGCGCAACGCTTTGCTCGCCTGGCACCTTTGCGTACTTGGGGAAATCCGTGAGCCAGGGGGACTGTAGGCAGTCTAGGGAGGTGGGGGGCAGGAGTGAATATCGCCTTTGGAGAGATTCCGTGGCAACCGGGCACGTCGAGGGATTCGCCTGCCTCTTCCGATCGAAGAGACCGATCTCCTTCGCGCGGCACATTCACCATCGCCATGTCGTGCCGTCCTGTGCTCTCCGCCCGCGCGGATATGCGTTCACTCATCGGCATTACTCTTGTGCCCTATAGGTTAGGCTAGCTAGTCGGGATTTCCTCGACCGTACTGATCTTCACCCTGGTGGGGGGTGAGCGCCAGCTGGCCCTTCACTTGCCGTGAAAAGCTGGAATGTCCGACAAGTCACATTCGTATCTCTGTCGCTCCAGAGAGCGCCACCGGCGAGCAACGACGCCGCCGCCAGTCCGCGTGCGTCCCTCGCAACTAAGTTAGCACCACAAAATGTTCCCTTCAGCCACGTATTTGAGGTTATGACGCCAGAACGTGTCTTTTAAGGAGAAGTTTTCGAAAGTGGTGCACTGGACCTTCGGCATGACGTCACCGGGAAGGTGCTGTCTATCGGTCTAGGCGGCAGAATACCTAAACACATTGTCTGCATTACCACTTCCTGACGTTCAATGCACGCTTCGATGTAACTAATTGGAGGGCACGCACGCGCCGCCCCTCCCTGGTGCCTCTGTAGTTCGAAGGCTTGGTGCTGGTTACCCCCATGGGAGGCCAGTCCGGCTCCGCGCCGAACAAGAAGCAAAGGGGCGTCGGACGAGTGGTGGGCAGGCGTTGTCGAATGCTGGCGAGTGATAGAACGTGCACATGGGAGAGCGGTGCTTTTATACTGAAGCGACATCCCTAGTGGTCGGGCAGGGCCTCTGCGCGACGGGCCTCTTGGCGGGAAACCCTTGGCCTGATGGTAGCCAGCTTATTTCTTGAGACTGTCGGCTGGTGCAGCGGATAATGGGTGCCACTGGACTCCTATAATTCAGCCATAGAGAGACAGATGAACAATGCGCTGCGCTGCCGTGGGCCCCCCCCAACTAAGTTAGCACTCAGTTTCTTAATGATTACAGTTGCAAAGCAAAAATCAAATAGAATTTTGTAGCTGAACATCACAGTGGTCGAGTTGGATCCAAAAATGCTGGAAATCGCCCAGAAATGGTATGGCTTGGAAATGGACGAAACTCATCGCGTGATAATAGACGATGGATTGGAGTTTATCAAAAAAGCAGTGAAAAACGGTATTTTAGCAGGGATTTCTAGACGAAGTCACTTTCAAAAATGAAGTTTACGAAGATAGCCCACTAGAAGTCGGAGGTGGTCAGTGGTACAGGTTGGAAGAAAAAAACAGAAAAAAACAACCTAGACCCTAGAAATAAGGCCCCCTTTTGTCTGTTGACTTGCGTGATACTCGTGTCTTAGCGGTGTTGCCCTCTTCAACGCTAACGTATTCTCTGCTAATCGACTAGGGGCCCAGATGGCGAGGAGTGGGCGTGCCGCGGTGCTAGCGGCGCGGGAACGGCCATGCTAGATCGTCGGGGCATATCTTCACCACAAATTGTGTGTTGGTTTGCACTATTAGAGGATCCGGTTGTCTTTCCGCTGTAACCCCACAAATTTGATCTAGGTGTGTTCTCCAGTGGTTCGAATAAGTACTGGTGAAGGGCAGGAATTGTGAAGTGGACCCGGTCTTTCAAGCCGCCTGAGGCTTTTAGGGGGGGGGGAGGGACTATAGCTCAGTTTAGGACATATTTTTTCTGGATAATGCAAAGTACTTGTCTGCAGAACACATGTTACATAGTACTTCAGAATTTTCTTTGAGAAAAGAAAACGCCTCGAAAGGAAATCAAAATAGATTAGTAAAGTAGCGTCCAAAGTGATATTTGTAAATTGGGGTGTTTACTATAAATTGTTTACGTAAGGTTTTCAGGAGAGCGCTACGATGTGGTGCTCCTGGACGCGTGTACACTCCAAGAAAATGTGAAGTTCAGATGTCCTGTAGAGATCTTTACGACTGCAACAGCACGAGATTTCCCTGGCCAAAGTGGTTGAGCCAAAAGGTCAGTTATACACGATTTTTGTAACATGCATTTGCTTTTTTCAACTCACATTCCATGATCAATTAGGTGTGGTCATAGCGTTTATAAACCAAAGATGGATATTACGATGAAAAAGCAGCCCATTGGAATAAACGTAGAGGTGGTCAGCGATGCAGGATGGAGAAAAACCACCGTGAGAAACGGCCCAGAACCCGGAAAATGGGGCCACATCCTTGGCCGTTGATTTCGCGACTGATGCGACTCTCATCGATGCTGCCCTCTTTAACGTTAACGCTCTCTCTGCTGAGTGGGTCACGACGAGAGGGGTGACTGCCACGGCCCCGCATCGCTAAGATGCCATGCTATGTCGCTAAGCCATAAGCCCCGCTGATGGAACGCGCATCGTCTCGGGCACCCTTAACGGGGCCTGTGCGACTTTCGACTTGGTATTTTCCCCTTCTCAACTTCTCGACTTCATTAGCCAGGACCCCTTCGAACATAAAACTTAAGGTCTCATACTTGGCGAACAATCAGTCTCTCCTCAAAATATTCCTATTCGTATATATAGGGACCATCATTCGCGATACTTACTAGCCATCAGTACGAAATCAATGTCGCTACAAACAGGTAGAATTAATCATATTCTACTGCTTTATGAATAACTTATAGGAAAATTAGGACGGAAAGTGTATCAAAAATTTCTCGTTCTTTCTGCCCTGAGCAGCTGGTAAACTTCTTATGCAATATATCCTTTTCTCTGTTGTTTCCCTTGCACCACTTAGGCCATCAATTGTCACTTTCAAACGTGAGGCAACTCGACCTCTGAGACGCCCCCCCCCCTTTTCTGAACGCGCAAATCCCAAAAAAATTTTTTGAGCTCTTGCCCTGCGCTCTCTCGCCTGAACAATTCTATGTACCTGTGATAAATTCTTTGTCACATGTTTATGCATAACTCAGTTGCCACTCCGGACCCCCTCTTTCATCCAAGGCTTAGTCTGCGATGTGCTCGGCCACCCCGAGCACATCGCACCTGTGAACTTCACAGCAGAACCCGTCTCGTCTGGCTCCCTCCGAGACTTTCCTCCCTTTCCAGCAGATATATCCCTTTTTTGACCTCCAATTTATCGTATCACCTGTTTTAAGGAAAAGCTTTCATTGTGGTCGGTCTGGAGTAGCTATTGTAGTGGACACGCTCCAGCAGTAAATGCAAAGGTCAGGATCGATTCGGGAGTCTATAGCGCTTGAAAATAACATCAGGCATATGAAGTTGTACCTCCAAAGAAGAAAAAACTGAAGGAACCATCAGCAAAGTCAAAAATAGACCACTCCTCCTTAAAAGCAGCGAAGAATCCTCCCACGTGCATACGTGTCCGGACGAGTTTTCCGTGTTTTCCTCAACCATTTTCTGCTTTTTTGACTTGATGAACGGTGCTTGATGATAAGACGTAATTCGAATGAGAATGCTATGTGTCTTGCGAGGATGCCATGTCATACCGTCTCTGCGGTGGGCGGGCGTAGCTTAAACTGGGTGGCGATAGCTCAGTATAGCGGAGCGGGGAGCGTTCATACCACGTGCTTTCACTTACTAGCGTGGTTTCATGGTTGCGCACCTGCCCACAGTACTGATGGAGTTTGTTTGGCCGCCGCCTCCATCTTTCATTGAAAAAAGTGACGGTTCCGCGCGGCGGGCACGCAAAAATCGACATGTCTCCAAAGGGCTGAATAGATTTTGTGGATAATTTTTTACAGCTGATATCTGACTTCAAGCAAGTTTTCCATACTTGTGCTCTGAGACCGACTCCTCGAACCAATTTGGTGAGTGTTCAATACGATTCTTCAACAGGAAAAGATCAACAAAAATCTGATACAGATTCTGACCTGCTCACACCGTCAACGACCGGAAGGCTTGGAGACCAGTTTCAGAGAATTCTCAAGAAATCTGATGGGTCAATGATATGGGGAAAGCGAATCGATATCATGTGAAAGTCATGTTTTATGATTTGTTAACACGATCGTTTGTTT